ACGGGGATGCTGTTTTTTTTTTCAATTCCACTGCTGCCGAGGAGTGTGCATATTCATCATAACTCCATAGAGAAAAACAAGCAAGACTGTGTCAGACTGTTCCGTCGGACTTCCATCGACTCATCAGGGGATTGAACGCCAGCAGTCTGCCTAGGATGCATTTGACTGATGGATAAGGACTCACCACGTTGCCCATAGTTAGCGATACCCCTGAGAAAAATGGTAGACTTTACTCACACCAACCCTGCGATGTAGCAGACGGGAGTGTGCGTGTGTGTGTGTCACAAGCGGTTAACGGGTAGCTGACAATTCAGGAATGAAAATTCTGAAGTGAGAGCTTAGGGCAGTCTGAAAATCCCGAATGGTCCTGAAGTGGTGAAAGGTCCGAAGACCTTGAAAACCACCTGTTTAGGCAGGGTGCATCCTGAAGTGGTGAAGTGAGAGTTTTGGGCAGTCTGAAAATCCTGAATGGTCCTGAAGTGGTGAAAGGTCCGAAGACCCTAAAAACCACCTGTTTAGGCAGGCTGCATCCTGAATTGGTGAAAGGTCCGAAGACCCTGAAAACCACCTGTTTAGGCAGGCTGCGTCCTGAAGTGGTGAAGGGTGTCTTGAAGTGGTGATGAACAATACGACTGTTGTTAACCTTCTCTCGTTTAACCCAGCATGGTACCAAATCATGCACCATACCATCACAACACCTCAAGAGGAAAATATGCATCTGAATGAGTCAAACCAGTCCTCAAAATATTGAAACACTACGACCAAATAAGGCAAAATCACCAAAACGGAAAGCTGCAGGGCAGAAAGCCGCTAGGGGAAAGGCAACGAGCCAAAAGGGAACAGGCCAAAAGGCAGTGAGACAAAAAGTGGCAAGGCAAAAAGTAGTTAATCGAAGTAAGGTCAGAGGCAATAACGAAAAATACAGTAAAGCAAACGACAAGGAGGCAACAAGGTGTTGGACAACAAGCGCCAACAAGGCACGTACTACGTAAGGCTGAAGGGCATGGGGGAAGTGGAGTGTCAGGCAAACAGCACAAGGAAGCACAGGGGAAAAACAGCAAGGGAAAGGGCAGCGAGCAAAGGGCAACAAGGCAGAGGCAGCATGGCAAAAAGCGGCGCACGGGAAACAAACAAAACCCGAACTAAAAAACAAAGGGCAAAGCAAACAAACAAATAAAGACGAATGATGACAAACTGTTTCATCAGAGTTGCACCGACTCATCAGGAGACAACCCTGAACAATCTGCGGACTTCCCATACCGATGCTTTTTAGTCATGGACTCCTTCAGCCCTGAAGTAAGTGGACAGCCCACAAGTAAGACCAGAAGCAGAACATGTGTTGCATACTCGTGAACACAGACGTAAGTATGGCGCAGAATCCCAGACCCAACCAGATAATACAGAGCAAATACAAGCAAATACAATTACAGCGGAAGACTTGATACAAATGGATTGACTCAAACCTGACTCGAGACCGCAACAAATCCCTCAAAAACATGCATCGGTGGTGTGAAAGCCCTGGCCTTGGACATGGAAGAAAAGGCCAGGGTCCGACCTCATACACAGATGAATGGAGGGGAGGAGGATAGGGAAGAAGACATCAACTCAATGTCTCCAAAAATACTATCTCGAAATGTCATAAGTAGCGAAAATCCGAAATGTCGCAAATACAGAGTCTCACAGTGTCTCGGATATCGATCTCCTAATGCCAAGATACATCTCCAGAGGTAGATGAAGTCAGATCCCCAAAAGTAGTCCTCAACCGAAAGTCTCAATGTTGTTATCTCTTATACCATCAGAATTCGTAACCATCCTTCATACTCGTAGTAGTCCAATAGGAGCAACCCAAGAAGTAGGCTTAGACTTAGGGTTGGAGGAGAAAGAAGGCGGAGGAGAGAGGAGAAGAAAAGGAAGAGGGAAGAAAGGTGAAGCCTTTCTCCCTGATACCTGAGTGGCCGCGCCGTCCCTGCCGATGCCCGCTGAGACCAAGCCTGGCGATGCAGCTATGGCGCTGCAGTGCTGGGCGCTAGGCTGCGGGCTGAGCCGGAGAGCTGGCGCTAATCGCTGCTGTGCTAATCCTCCTCGCTGCTGCGCTAATCCTTCTCGCTGCTCCGCTATTCTAACGCCAAAACGCTGCCCTAGACTAACCTGCCTACTGAAGCTGGTACCCGGCTGATATAGTGCTGGGCCGGCCTCCAAGCTGCTGGTAACTTCGGGTCTAGACCATTGCTCAGTCCAACGGTTCAGATCCAATCCGAAAAGTGGCGCCTAAACTTGGCTGCCTTCAAAACTCCGCCGCAGGTAGGTCCTAGTGTTGGACCGGTACTGGCCTGGCCCTTGTGACCGTTGGCCTACTCGGCCTCTAGGCCGACCTACGGTCTGAACCGACGTGACCCCTGACCATAGGCCTAAACTTGCCTATCTACGGAACCGGGCCCTAACTGGGGCCCGTGTGGTGTCAGAATGCCACAACATGGCAGCAAAAGAACGACTCAGCGAAGCACCAGGCAGAGCAAGGCACGCAGATGGGCGACAGCGCAAGCAGACAGGCGGCGAAGCAACAACACAGTGAAGCACAAGGCAGCACTGGCAAAAGCAGCCAAGCTACATGACAGAAGCAAACGCACTGGAAGACAAGGCACGCGGATGGGCAGCAAGGCGGCAATGCAGCGAGGCACACAGCAACACTGACAAGGCAACCAAACGACATGGTTGGTTCCCGCGACTGCTGAGTCAGGAAGCCACTCTGACTAGCGGATTCATCACCCAGGGAACCATCCACCCACAGATATCCCAAACTGACCGCCCCCCCCTACTACTGTTATTGGCACTCCAAACAATCTGCCAACGGCTGTTTAGCCCTCCTTAGAGGTGCTCCCTTAGACACACAGACTATACATGAAACTGATTGCGTCAATGTCTCTCCATGAGGAAGGAACGGATGGACTAGTTTCCAGGGGCACTGGGCCATTCGGTCACTTGTCCCACACTGACCCACAGACTCCGCACACGCATACAAACAGACACATACACATATCACATCATAGAGGCCGTCACCCACTCAAGCAGCACACCAGATATCCAGATGACTCACTCCCTTCAGTAGTTCAAATGATAGGCCAGGGGTTTCAGCCCTAAAAGGAGTCCCATCGGAGTACATCTCCCAACGTGTGTGTATGGAGATGAGTGCGAGACACATTTACAGTTATCCCCAGCATGGTCCCAACCATCCACCATACCATCGCCACACCTCAAGAGGAAAATATGCATCTGTGTGAGTCAAGCCAAAGGACACCCTCAAAATAACACAACCAAACAAGGCAACATCAGCGAAGCAAAAGGCCGCAAGGCAGAAAACCGCTAGGAAAAGGGCAGCAAGCTAAAAGGGAGCGGG